GTCTCAAAATAAAAAATAAAAAGGGCCAGGGATTGGGCTGGGGTTGTGGCTCAGCAGCAGAACACTCACCTAGCATGTACGCACCCTGGGTTCGATCCTCAGCACCACACAAAAATAAATAAAGGTACTGTGTTCAACTATAGCTAAAACAAAAAAGGGCCAGGGATGTGGCTTGGTGATTAACTGCCTCTGAGTTCCATCCTCAGTACCAAAAAAATAAATAATAATAATAATAACATAAAGTCATCTAGGGATAATTTGCCACTTTTTTATAATAAACACATTACTTCTATATTTATGTATATTGTCTTCTTCAATAAAATTTAAATTTTCTCCGTATATTTCTCATATTTTATTAGGCTTATTCTTAGGAACCTCATAATTATTTCTACTGCTATCAATTGTATATGTATTTTTAAGGTTACATTTTATAATTACAAATATTAAAATGTTTCTAATTTTTGTGTAGTGTATCCTTTGTCTTTACTGAACTCTCCTTTTAGCAGTTATGTCTTGAGTTTGATTTCTCTTGAGATGATGGTAACCCTGTGAATAATTACCATTTTATTTCTTTTTAATAGTTTCCATTCTTTGAGAGAAGACTGAGTCCTTACCACCTACTTCTTACTCTATGTCCGTCTCTTATGGATTTAATTTTGTCACTGATTCTCAAACTTTAGTCAGAATCACTGGGATGTTAAAACGAGGGCTCCTGGAAATATATTTTCAAAGATGCTGACTTGGTAGGTTTGGAGTGAGCCAAGGAATTTGTATCTTAACATATCCAATATAATTCCTTTTAAAAAAATGTGTTCTTTTTAGATATACATGACAATAGAGTATATTTTGGCATGTTATATACATAGAGTACAACTTTATTCTAATTAGGATGCTATTCCTGTGGGTGTATATCCAATATAATTCTGATGTAGTTGTTGAGGGAACTGCACTTTGGAAAACATCTTAGATGTAACCTGTATGTTCTGATATTTATCATTGACTATCCAACTAAATTATAAACCCTTGTGGACAATTTTTCTTTTATGTTGTTGTTTGGTTTTTGAGGGGGTTACTGTGGATTTAACCCAGGGCTACTTTACCACTGAGCCACATTCCCAGACCTTTTTATTTGAGACAGGATCTTACTAAATTGCTTAGGACCTTGTTAAATTGCTGAGGCTTTTCTAGTCTTCTATACTTGTATCACTTAATAGGAATAACTGAGTACTAATATATTACTGAACAGTAATTAAATATTTTTAAGTTAAAACTATGCAACCCTTATTTCAACATATAATTTCCATTTTGAGGCAGTAATTTATCTTTGAAAGATAATTTGGACTAGTCTGTTGATATAAACTTTTTCTATCACTGTCTTATTCAAATTTTAAAATAAGATAGCTAAAGGTTTTTGTTTTCTGGTGTCTCATCAATAGTGAACTCTATATACTTTTTTCTTCCTTAATGAAAAGTCATCATTTTAAAGTTATTTGTATTCTCATAATTGGTATAATTTAAGGGTTTGTTTTCAAAGCTTTCTCTATTTTTTTTTAATCTAGTTTAATGGAACCTTTTAGTATAACCAATGCAAAAGGAAAGCTTAACTTGAAGCAAACAGTTTTTTCTCTATTAATGTTTTTTTAATCAATTATAAAGTAAAGGCTTGGTATCAAGAGAGGTCAAAACTTTCAATGACGCTACTTTTAGGTTTGCTGATTAACAGGTTTAGGGCTATGTCAATACAACATGTACATTTATTATTTCTATGTTTTTGAAAACTAAGTGTTTCATAGTTGTAGCATGAACAACTTTAGTTAAAACTAGGGTCAAGTTGAGATGAAGTAAAAAAACTGGCATGAGTATTCTTTGACATACAACAGGATAGAAATATTTTATGTGACTAAAAGATGCATACTGTTAGTAAGACAGTGTGGAAGAAAAATATGTAAAATGTTCAAGACACTGCAGACGAGTTTTAAGCAAATACTGCTTTCATGATAGGTTCCTTGATATCTACTGTGAATAGGCCTTGGAAAACATCAACTGAACAAATACTATTTAAAGTTTCAAGTAGAAGCTTCTGTAGACCTCCCATATTTCTCTATAAGTGCTTTTAAAAAAAAATAAGTGTTTAGGGTAGAGAAGGGAACAAAACAATAATTGAAGTCTCTCCTGATGACCAGTCAAGCCCAAATTATGACTTTTAAAATCAAGCATAAACATTCAAGTAAAGAACAGAAATAACAAAACAAGTACTCACTGAGCACCTATTATATGTGGGGTACTCTAGTCACAACAATAATACCACAAAAGACAAGCAGGAAGGAAAAGAGTATAAAAGGTTAATGTAGATGTTACATGTAATTATTATAGAGGAGGAAGAAAAGGAAGAGGAAGAAGAGGCAGAAAAAAAAAATGGAGAGGAGGATGATAACAATGACAACTACAAGGAGAAGCAATTTAATCAGACAAGTATTAGAAGAAAATAGCCTAAGCCAAGAAACAGTTTGAGCCTTTAGACTGAAAGATGAAAGAGCTCAGTAGTCCAAGAAGTGATGGGAGGTGGGAAGAGGGAGGGAAGGAGAGGGATAAAGGATCAGATATTCTGACAAAATTGAAGGATTGTAAGAATAAGGAAAAAAAAAAAAAAAAACCTCACATTTTACAAGCTTCCACTATAAAGAATGAGTTCCCTACAAAGGGGGAAATAAATAAATAAAACTGGCTTTGGGATTCTCATCTGCAACATGAGAAGTTAGAAGAAAGAGTACACAATATTTATAAACTAAGGAGAGAAAAGGACTACAACCCAAGAATCCTACACATAGCAAAAGTACCATTTCCTCTACCAGAGGAAAAGATAATATTCAGTAAGTAAACTGTACTGCCCAAATAGACCACCTATGGTAGTTACCTTTTCTCTACTGTGACAAATATTAGAGAAAAGCAACTTGAAGGAAGAAAGATTTATTTTGGTTCACAGTTTCAGAGATCTGTCTATGGTAAGATGGTTCTGCTGCTTTGGGACTAAGGTGAGGCAGAACATCATAGTGGGAGAGTGTAGGAGATGAAAGCTGATGCTGACCAGCCAGGAAGCACAAAGAAGTGGGAATAAAGGGATAAGATATACTCCTTAAGGACATGACCCCTGGGATCTTCTTTCCTCAATGAGGTGCCATCATCTAAAGTTTTTATTCCTTCCATCAAATATGAATCAGTGGCTTAATCACAGATGAGGCCAGAGCCCTCACAATCCAATCAATTCTCAAAAGCCCCACCTGTGAACATTGCTGCGCCAGGGACCAAGCCTTCAACACATGAGTCTTTGGGGGACAGTTTATACCCAAACCACAACACCACCTAAGGAAAATATGGTGCAGTTCATAATCTATACTGTTCTCAAGAATGATTGGAAAAAAACTGTGGCATAATCACAAGATGGAACATTATGCAGTTAGTAACAAGAATGGCTTCTTTATACAAAGATGGCATGGAGGGATGTATAAGAGTTGTATCTAAAAAAAAAGAAAAAGAACTATGTCTATCTCATTTTTATAAAATTAAAAATACAAACCCACATTTCTCTTTAGGTCTATATAAGATTGTAATATGAAAGAACACACACCAGGTTAATAACCTGGATTGTGGCAAGAGCGGTAAGAGATGAAGAAAGAAGTACTCTAGTTAGAAGAAAGGAGTTTCTATGATAACACTGGCATGCTGAACATTCGACTATGTAAAACTGTGTCATAGAGAGATGCATGGAGAATAGCTATCAAAATGTTAGTGATGGTTACCTTAGAGTATTGATTCTAGGTGGCCATTACGTTCTTTCTTTCTTTTTTTGTTGTTGTCAATGAATCTTTATTTTATTAATATGTGGTGTTGAGAATCAAACCCAGTGCCTCGAAAGTACTTTACCACTGAGCTACAACCCCCAGGCCCCCATTACATTCTTTTTTAAGTTTTTATGTTGTCTGAATTATTTACAATGAATACATATATTTAGATAACTAGAAAGAAGCAATACAATTCTTTACAGTTTAGAAGACTTATTTTTTCTTAAAATTAAAAAAAAAAATCCTATTTTAATACCTTTCTCAAAGGTCAAAAGCATCCCCATCAGGAGGGGAAAAAAGTGAGAGTAGAATACTCTGGGTTTCAGAAAACTCTTGTATGGAAAATATTTGACCAGAAAGGTCTGACATGAGGTCTAACAGTTATATACTTTAAAAACTCAACACACTGAAAAATAAGCATGAACTTAGTATCCAAGTTCACAAAAACCTCTTTTTCTAGTCTCCTGCTGGTTAAAGAATCAGGAAGAAAGAAAATATAAGATTAGCTTCATAGAGGCTGGGGATGCTCACTGATAAAGTACTTAACCAACATGTGTGAGTCCTTGGGTTTAATCCCCAGCAATTTTTTTTTTTTTAAATAACAGTTAGCTTCATAATAATATCATTTGTGGGTTGACACAGGAAAAAGGGAGAATAAAATAGAAATTTTATGATAACATTTTATGTTTAAGCCAGATTCCCTCCTGGGACATTTTTTGCTTGGATGAATGAGGCAGGACATGGTAAATCTTAGCTAGTTTCATAGAAAGGAGTTTAAGCTTGAGCGTACAAGCTGCTTCTGACTTCAAGCAAACATGAGATGTCACCAGTTAAAAGCCTCCTGTGATGTACTGTTTGGATGGCAGGAGATAATAAGTCCAAAACTGTTTAACATAAAGCTAGATGATCCACAGTTAAATAAAATCATAGCAAAATATGAATATATCAATAAGAAAGAATTTTACACAGGTTTGACAATCTGTTACAATCTCACCTCAGATACAACTTCTGCTATTGTATTGTAGCAACAGTGGCTGCTCCTGGCCACAGCAACTGAGATTAAATAGCCAAATTCTGATTAAATAAACGGGTATGGAAGACTGTTTCAGGACTTTATACAAATAGTAACCTCATTTTAAAAAATGAGGAAAAACTATCATCCAAATTTGAAGCTAATTTAATTGTCAGTAACTGAACAGTTAAAAAAAATCTCACACAAACAGTGCTGTTTCAAAAGTTTCATCAGTAGAGACAAAAAGGTTGATATTCATCCTTCCTCATCACTGCTGCTCCAGGCATCTTCAAAAGCTGGATTTAACTGCGATTTGGTTGTAGTCTAAACAAAGAAAAAGAAAGAGGAAGATATTGTTTTTTCCACTGCATAATTTTAGGCTCAGATGAACAGCAATTAGATTATTTTGAAAGAAACTGTATAATTGCTAATTTCAAAACAAAAGTAATATATGAAATGCCCCCCAATACAATAAGATAATGTAACTCCATTTAAAACAGATATATCAGCCAGGTGTGGTGCTTCATGCCTGTAATTCCAGCAGCTCGGAAAGCTGAGGCAGGAGGATCACTTGTTCAAAGCCATCCTCAGTAAAAGTGAGGCCCTGTCTCTAAATAAAATACAAAATAGGGCTGAGGATGTGGTCCAGTGGTTGAGTGCCCCTGAGTTCAATCCCCAGTACCCGCCCCCTAAAAAACAGATATATGGGACATTATCCAAATAATCTGAATTTCTCTGAAAGTGATCACCTCCAAATACATATATATATATATATATATATATATATATATATATATATATATATATATAATGCTTTTATTCAAGGTATTTCTGCAACTCTTAAGAATTATCTGCAGAAAGTTGAACATTGACTTCCATGGGGTTAAGACTGGACTCCAGGTCTACAGTTTAACTTGACATTACTATATATTAATACTGCCAACTTTTTACTGTTTGGATGGGCTTGACATTCATAAATAAACAAACATCCACATATGAGGAATAAGCTGTTCATCAAGCTGAACAATACCATTTTTAGTCCAAAGGTTATTAAATGGTGAGGTTTGTTTATTTGTATATGGTTAGAAGCACATGCAACATTCATCAAAAATGGTAACATGTCTGTAATTAACACATAGGATTTCCTGGAAGATTTCTCTAAAGAGTAACAAGCATTTGAAAAGTCTTTACTTAAAATAACAAGAAAACATTACAGTGTTCTCATAAGTTCAGTGCCATACCTAATAAAGGTAATCAGCATCTTGAGAAATTTTAATTATCTGTGAATTATCAAATCAATTCCTTTGTTTGGGAAACTAGAGTGGCTATCTAGCAAATAACTAGAAGACTTTTAAGTTTTTTTTTTTTTTTTTAAGTTTCTTGGCATATGAGTCAGATCTGCTGCTTATTCTGCAGCTTTTACATTTGCTATGGTTTGTTCAGATCCAAATTCCAATAACATATTAGTGCCAAGAGTACTGTTAATTTAACAACTTATGTTTGGTGAACAAGACGACTTAGAATCTTATAATGAAAAAAATAGAAAAAGCCAATAGTCCAAGTAAATTTCCAGGATGGCTGGAAAGCAATATATTAACTTAGGTATTCTTTTTAGTTGTTACAGCGATCAGACTGCATTGCTAACCCTATTTTGCTATGGTAAACAAAAGAACACTAGAAATACATTTTATTACTAAAACAATCACAAATAAGATGTCATACTTGCAGTTAAAAGCTCCAATAAAAATGTAGATGGACTTAGTACACATTACCATTTGAGATTCCCAAAGAGTAATATGTATATTAAATCCACCCACATTTTTATTACATGTTTTATTACGTATTTTATTTTACTACAACTTCATGTGTAACCACCTTCAATTTCTTCAGTTTTCTCTACAACATCTCCTCCTAGTGGACATCCAATCTATGCTTGAACATAGTCATCTCTATCTCACCAGGTTGGTTGATGTACTTGACAGAGTAGTGAGTGCTATGGGAATGAAGAAAGGGGCATCTACTCTAGAGTCCAAATAATGGAAAGGAGAAATGAGTCCAAAATAAACATTTGTCAGGATTATATCTTGATAACTTTCAAATTTCTGAGTGATAATTACTAGAAAATTTCAGGGTTTCTGTGTCAGTAAGTATTATGTATCTACATAAGATAGACGTGAAACAGTTATATATTATGTGACTGTCAAAACTAAAGTAGGAGTCTTGTTGAGAAGTCAGATTTAAGCTGTACCTGTCCTATGAATCTCCAGAAGGAAAAAGTGATTAGGAGTTCAGATAAGCTTAACTTAACCATAACCAAGTAGGAAGTGGGGGAGGAGCAGATTCCTCAGGATTTAATAAAACAGCTTGACAATTAAGTAACAAAAATTATGCTTGAAGACCATAAAACCTGACTGACCCTATCATTCAATACCCTTCAGTTTCTTTAGATAGAATTAAAGTCCTCCTCTATTTTGGATATTGGGAGAAATACCCCAAGGGATTATATTTTGGTTAATGAAGAAATAAAATCTCATCAGAAGTATAAAATTTGAAAGGAAACCTAAGAACAACTTTGGCAATTCTGATATTTGAAAATGTCATAAACTTGGGTCTGGGGTTGTGGCTCAGTGGTAAGAGCGCTTGCCTTGCATGTGTGAGGCACTGGGTCAGATCCTCAGTACCACATACATACATACATACATAAAATGAAGGTGTTGTGTTATGTACAGCTAATTTTTTTTTTTTTAAATGTCATAAACTTGTCCCATAATACACTGGCAGAACTCGGAAACAAATGGCAAAACTAGAATTCAAACCCAGGTTTACCTAAAACTAAAAACCTAGTACATATGTGCATATGTATTGGTGTGAATTGTTTTGCATTATACTACATTGCTCCCCTGTGAATCTACAATACTCATTTATTTGATAGTCAAAATGAAAACACTTTTGAATATGAATTAAATGGTAAGAAAAAGGTTCTTGTGTAGACCAACTTTTCTACTGGAATTTGCATCATGGTCATATTCATATTCTACCTACATTCACAGGAATCTTTCAAACTAAATTTTTATGGAAATAACCTTAGCACATACCACTTTATACTAATATGAGAATGACTGCTATTCTAAAGTGAAAGCATATAAATAGATATTTTAAAAGATAAGGCTTAGCCGGGCACAGCAGCATACGCCTGTAATTTCAGCGGCTTGGGAGGCTGAGGCAGGAGGATCACGAGTCTAAAGCCAGCCTCAGCAAAAGCAAGTTGCTAAGCAACTCATTAAGACCCTATCTCTAAATGAGTGACCCTAAGTTCAAACCCTGGATCCCCACCCCACCCCACCCTCGCCAAAAACATATAAGGCTGTACAGCTCTAAGACTTGAATATAAAGCTCAGCTTGTTTTCAGTGTTCTTCTAATTGTTTTGCTTAATTTTCATACATAAAAGCAAGTCTTTTAGATGAGCTTAAATTGTCAGTATAACTACAAAACAAGGAAATGAAGAAGCCATCAAAGTTACAAATTATCTTTATAATAAGCAATTTAGATTTACTTTAATATTCTTTTATTTATATGTCATAATAGATTTTCTTTAAATTTATTTTTATTATTTTGATTTGGTGATTATATACTTCCTAACATGGCCTGTAGTGTTATAATTTTGATTTAATGTGTACTGTAATTCCCACAGAGCAGATACAACACTTAATAATAAAAAATAAACGGCTAACTAAATTTTTTGACCATATTAAGCTTTCTACAGATTATTCAGCCATCAAAAATAGTTGTTGCTAAAATCAATCAAGCCACAATGAACCAAATTAGACGTGATGAATTCCGGAAACATTCATATGGCATTTGGCCAGATGCTCAAAGATTTATCAACATGTATTTTTTTCTCCCTTTCATTTGGATTAGGCCAAAAGAAAACAATTCACAGTTCAGAGGCTTTATGCCACAGTAAACCATAGCAACTACAAATTTAGGCATGAAATATATTTTATCAATAGCTATTAGCTAGATGCTATTAACTATCCCTGTTAAATTTTTATTTCATGTGGCTTTTGACATAGTCCTATATTCATAAAGGAACTAAACATATGAAAAATGTTTTTAGAATATCAAATGATTTTATCAATAACTTCCTTCCATCTCTATTTAAGATACTTTGTTTTTACTATCACTTGGGTTAAGTTTACCTTAACATATTTCTAAATGTATTTGTACTGCCAGTTTATAAAATTATATAAGCATTCTTTTAGACACCAAACTTTAAAAAAATATTTATTTTTTAGTTGTAGTTGTCAATACCTTTATTTTAATTTGTTTTTATGTGGTGCTGAGGATCGAACCCAGGGCCTCACATGTGCTAGACAAATGCTCTACTACTGAGCCACAACCCCAGCCCCTAGACACCAAACTTTTTATATCCTAGAAATTAATATAAATGGAAATTATTAATAGTACTGAATAGAATAATCCTTGCAGAAAGAGAAAGCATCTTTAGACAACTTTTATTTTACTACAGCTTGACATACAGTAAAAATAATAATAATTTTGAAAAAAGAGGCTACTAAAGGGTAGGGATCATGTCTTACTCATCTTTGTTTACCCATTACACTTTTAAGGCTCTTTATTCATGCTGTCCTATTTATTCTAATTTACACTCTAAGATAGGTACAGTTAGATTATAAAATATTAGAAGTGTAAATTGGTAAAATCTAGCAGCATGAAATTGAGACTTAATTATGTCATACATGGTAACTCAAGAGGTTCCAGGAATGTTAGCCTAAGAAATAATCATAAATATCTGTAGTAGAGGCTGAGAGAGGACAATTGCAAGTTTGAGGCAAGTCTGGGTAACTTTGACTACTCAAAATGAAAATAAAAGGATGAAAGGGCTGGGGATGTTGCTCAGTGGTAAAGTACCCCTGGGTTCAACCCCCAATATAAGGAAGGAATAAAAGAAGAAAGAATAAAAAATTTGTGAATAGATATTTACCTTGATGCTGTTTAAAAGCAATAGATACAAATATTTAAATTTGTGGTATACAAATGATGCAACACTATATCATTAAAGATACAGTTTAAAATAGATACCAAGTTATATGTTCAACAATGATATTAACTGTGTTTAAAAAAAAAAAAAAGCAGTGGCTAGGAGGGTATCTTAGTGGTAGAACAGTTAGTTGCCTGGAAAGCTTGGGGTCCTTGGCTAAAAATAAGAAGAAAGAAATATATGCATAGGAAGAAACCAAGAATGAAGTAAATAAAAAATATACTGTTATTTAATCCAACCTGAGAAATTTAATATTCTTCTTACGATATTTTTCTCCTAAATTTTTCAAATGTGTTATATCAAGTTATTTTTATAATCAGAAAACAGCAAGAAATACTTTTAAAGCTCTCTTGTATAAACTAATAAAACTTTATTTCTTATGATTTAGGAATAACTATATACTATTTGTACAAATAATATTTACCTCATCATCATCGGGAACTGGTTCATATAAGGATGGTACCCAAGCAAGAATATTACAGTCTCTGCTACCACTATAAAGTTCCTACAGCAAAGAAAGCAAAGACGTACCAATTTGAAATTAACAATATCAGTTCTAAAAATGATTAATTCTTAAACTAATCAGATCATTTCTATTTCTACGTCTTAAACTATGCTGATGCCCCTTTTTTTTTCTTTTTCTTTTTAAGATGCAGTAAAGTTTTGTTTTGTATTTAAAATACTATCAGGGGCTGGAGTTTTGGCTCAGGGGCAGAGCACATGCCTAGCATGTGTGAGGCACTGAGTTTGATCCTCAGCACTATATAAAAATAAATAAATAAAATAAAGGTATGCTCTCCACCTACAACTACCAAAAAAATTTAAATAAGAAAAAAAAATACTATCAAGTTTTGTTTGAGCTTATTAATGGGGTGAAAATTTTACAAGTACATTCAATGTCTTAGCAGTTTTATTAATCATAGTATCCATATATTTCAAGTGTCATAACAGAGAAAGAAAAAAATAGAATAAAGGGCTTGTCTTTCTGTGTCAAAAGCAGGTGTTTTGTTGTTGTTCTGTTTGTTTTTTTCCAGTACTGGGGAGTGAACCCAGGGTCTTGTATATGCTAGGCAAGTGTTCTATCACTTAACCAAATTCTCAATAATAACTGCACTTTAATAACCATTTCAATGAAGAAACCATAAGAATTTCTACTAAAATAGACCAAAAGTTTACAAAAAAGTTTTGTGTAGCTTCTTTCTGTCTGGTTGCCTGCTATTCAACACAACAGCTAAAAGACCCATACTTTGCCTGTTGAGATGATTACTTCATAAAAGGAAGCTTGGCTTAATCTATAGTCTATGTTAATGTCTTTATGGACAAGTTATTAGCTCTTGTCTGAACAATGATCATTCCCTTCCCTAACAAAACTGATGAAATGTTGCATTGGCTATTATTGAAAACATTCCAATGGGGTATTGAAATAAATACTTTCTATACAGAGGATATAAACTGGTACAGTAATTCAGAGAATGGATTCTCAATATATAGCTCAAGCTTTTGTGTGCATTTCTGAGGTTATGCCAGAGTCACAAATAAAATTTAAGGCTATCATCCAAATAAAACTTATAACAAAAATAGAAATATTTAGGAAGGAACAGAAGAATGATTATTAGTAAATTAGCATTGCATTTATATGAGGAAATATTATTTGTTGTCAAAGAACATTTAATGACATTGGAAAATATTCATCAAGAGAAAAGAAAAGGATTTAAACCAAATACTCAAAATGTAAAGGGGAAAAACCAGGATATAAAACAGTAGGTCAATAATAATAAAAATTACTGTGCAAAGGAGAATGGGCTTAAAAAATGGCTAAAAAGGCAACAAAATGTAGGTGGTTACAAAACTCTTAATGACTAAATGGCCTTTTTCTCCCCTCACAACTGTGTTTCTGTAGATCGGAATAAATAATCCTAACAATAGGCATTTTCCCTTGCTTTAGAATGCAATTATTTTTTATTCCACATCTTAAAAATATTTGAAGCATCGTATAATTAGTATTGTTTAAGAGAAGATTTTGAGTAAAGAAAAAAATAATATGAAGTTTTTTAATAAGAAATGTAGACATATAAAATATCAAATCAGTTAAACAATATCAAATTTCCTAAATAAAATGGCAGACTGAGACATAAAAGAAATCTCACAAAGGACTTAAAATCAACATACTACAGGGCTGGGGTTGTGGCTCAGTGGTAAAGTGCTTGCCTAGCATGTGTGAGGCACTGGGTTCGATCCTCAGCACCACATAAAAATAAATAAATAAAGGTACATTGTGTACATTTACAACTAAAATAAATAGATAGATAAAAAGCAGCATGCTATAGTGATGCAGCCACATCAATGTTTACAGTAGCTCAATTCACAATAGCTAAGCTATGGAACCAACCTAGGTGCCCTCCAACAGCTGAATGAATAAAGAAAATGTGGTTTATATATATATATTTTCAAAGTGAAATATTACTCAACCATAAAGAAGAATGAAATTATGGCAATTGCCAGTAAAGATGGATCTGGAGACTATGATGCTAAATGAAATAAGCCAAACCCAAAAAACCAAAGGCCAAACATTCTCTCTGATACGTAGATGCTAACACACAATAAGGGGCAGGAGAAAATAGAAGTTCATTGGATCAGACAAAGGGGAATGAAGGAAAGAGGGGGAATGGGATAGGAAAGACAGAAGAATAAACTGGACACAACTTTCCTATGTTCATATATGAATACATGACCAGTGTAATTCCACATCATGTACAACCACAGAATGAGAAGTTATATTCCATGCATGTATAGTATGCCAAAATACATTCAACTGTCATGTATAACTAAAAAGAATAAATTAAAAAAAAAAAAACAGCTTGGAAAAGACAGCACTTATGAATGGTTAATAAAGAGCACTTGGATGGAGAGATCAGAATTGAGCCCTGAGGTTTTTAGGATAAATGTAAAGATTCATTTGGGAAATTTGATTTAAAAATATCAAAAATTATGTTACAAGTTCAGGACAAGTAATTTTTTTCCAAAACCATAAGAGAGTAAATTGTTAACATAAGTTTCTTTTGACTTTGAATAATTTAGTATATATTTTCCGTGAAAAAGGATGTTTATATACAGTTACAATGTAACCCATAAAATCAGAAAATCAACATTGCTATTTTACTAGCATCTAATTCTTAAGTCCCATTTAAGTGTTACCATTTGTATTAATAACGTCCTTTTTAGTAAAAGGATCCAGTTAAAAATCAAGTGCTGCACTTGGTCTCAAGTTTTCAATCTGGAATAGTTCTTTGATTTCTTTGGCTTTCCTGACCTAGACAATTTTGAAAACACAAACTAGTTACTTAGTAGAATGTCCTTCAAATTTGGATTGTGTTAATGTTTCCTCATGGTTAAAACTGAATGATGCAAGTTTGCCAGGAATTTCATAGATGTGATGACTCATAATTAGAATGTTAACTTTGATCATTTGATTAAGGAAAAATATTCCAGGCTTCTTCAAAGTAAAATTACATTTTACCTTTGTACATAATATTTTGTAGGCTACCACTTAGGCTATGTAAATATCCCTTTCCTTACCAAATTTTCAACCTAATCTACTTGTTGATATCAGCATAACTTCAGAGATTTCTATTTTTGCCAATAGGTTATAATCCATTGCTATAATTATTCATTTTGATGTTAAGTTTATCTTGTCAGATTTGTATGTTTATGATAGAATTAATATAACTTTTTCCAGATAGTAAGTTTTACATATTTAATTTGCCAAAAGGAATTCCTCTGCTAAATGGATGCAAAAGTACTACCCTCTTTGTTTTTAAGATTTATAATTACTTTCATTTTCAGCATAATAGTAGGTGATTTGGAATAAAAAGTGGGGAGCTTCCTGATATAGTGTTTTTTATTTTTCTTTATTGTCAATGGATCTTTATTTTGCTTATTTATTTACTTACTATTTTATTTTTTAGTTGTAGTCGTACACAACACCTTTTATTCTATTCTATTTTTATGTGGTGCTGAGGATCAAATCCAGGGCCTCGCACATGCTAGGCAAGCACTCTACCTACTGCTCGGCCACAACCCCAGCCCTACTTTGCTTATTTATATGTGGAGATGAGAATCAAACTCAGTACCTCACACATATTAGGCAACCGCTCTACCGCTGAGCTACAACCCCAGCTCTGATGTAGTATTCTGATTAAAATCTTTCTGAGTTTCTAGCATACATAGAAATCATATTTGACAGGAGACAACTGGCCCAGTCTCTGGTTCTCTTAGTTATTCCAGGAACTGGGAAGAATCAATATTTTAGCATACTTTTAATTCATTCTAGATAAAACTATGATGAAGAAACAATTTGGTAGAATGTTATAATTTGTAGTCAAAATATCTTAACCAATGCAAAACATATGTTGCATAGGTTATACAAAAGAGAAAGATCAGGATGTTAAACAAAATCCACAGGTATTTAAGAAATTATGTAAGCTACACTAACTTAAAGGCAGGCTGTTATTAGCCATTGGTAGAAAATAAGGAAGAAATAAAATTTCAGACATACCCACACGTACATAAACCAAGATACACTACAATTTAAGTTAAATACCTATACTTATTCATTTATTTTACACAAAAGATTGAAAGAAAATATTTTATTTCATCAGAGATTTTCAATAGCTAAATGGAGCCCATATGCAAAAGAAAGACAATTTGTCCCAATTAATTGCATAGTATTATACTGATTTATACATATATTTTACGCCACCTAAAAATCTAGGCTGCATTATTTTCTATTAAATAAATCTTAGCTCAAATGTGGATTATAAATACAAACCTTCAGAATGAAATCACAATGTAACTTTTATATACTACTAATCTAGCAAGCTAGCCACTTGAACATCTTAAATTCCCTTAAGTATCATTCTTACCTGGAAATTAGATTGAAATACACAGCAGTCAACATTTTTATAATGTCCCTTAAGCATAGTTATCTGTTCTCCTGAGTAAACTGTATAAACAGCAATGGTGCTACCATATGGCACAAAAACAAATTCTGAACTGCAGCCGCAGGAGACAGTGAATTTCAATCCTTTTCTGCTGTCGTTACAAACTTTTCCATAATTCACCTGCAGGATGGATTAAAATCATAAAGTTAATTATTTCTTAAATCTAAATTAATAAGGACAATGAAGACTGGGAGAAATACTTTCTCCAAATACTATGACATAACATTATAACACTGTATAGAAAGAGCTCTTAAATTTAAAAATGCTTAATATTCTAAGAGAAATGAGGGCCAATGACATGAATGTATATTTCACATAAGAGGAATATAAATAGTGAAAAAAATCCATAAGGGCAAATGTTCACATTTTAGTCTTGACAAAAATAAAAAGGCAAATTAAGGCAAACTTGAAGAATTACACTATTTGGCAATTTGTTTTTTTCTTTTTGTGGTGCTGGGGACTGAACCCAGGACCTTGTGCATGCTAGGTAAGTTCTCTACCACTGAGCTACATCCTCAGACCCAGGTTTAGCAAAAATTTTAAGAAACAGACACACAATACTGGCACAAATGAGGTAAACATACTGATGACATTATAATTTGGTTTTCCTTTTAAAAAGTCAAGGGTTTATTATGCAACAAAATACAAAGATATTCTTTGTTTTTTGGGAGGGATGGGTTATATATAACCTTCTACTGTTTTCATTTTAAAAGAACTTAAATTGTGGTCAAACAAAAATAAAGAATTTGCTATCTCAATCATTTTAAGCATAGAGTTAATGGCATTAAATATATTCACATTGTTGGGCAACCATCCCCAATGTCCATCTCTAAAACTTTTCCCATCTTGCAAAACTACCTATTAAACAACAAAGATAGGTTTACTCCTTGACCTAGTAATCGCTCCTGGGAATTTATCTTAAGGAAATAATTAAAAAGCAAAAAATAATATGGCCAAGGGAATTGAATGCAGCATTATCTAGAATGGTGAAATAACTGAGAATGATGTATATTACTAATATGATATTAACTCTACAGCTTATGTAAATCATAATTATGAAAACTATATAGGAAATAAGGATAAAGGCTAAATACATAAAACCACAGAACACAAATAGTATGTATAATTATAATTTCAGCTTTGTACAACAAATATGTATTTGCGATAAAAATTTAAATTCTGTTCTTGTACTCAAAAGGGGTAGTCTGCAAGCTCAGTGGCACAAGAATCACCTGAGCAGTTAGACTTTCAGTCTTCTAGGCCCCATCCCAACCTTACTGAAGAAGAATTTTCATTTTAACAAATTCCCCAGGTGCCTGAGATGCTTTGAGCTAAAGAAGTCTGACAGGTTCACTTTCTGCTGATAATTAAAACCAATATCTAATCATTTGGGAATTATGAGTATGCAGATCATCAAAATCTCCCTTCTTCGTCATGGGTAATAGGAAATTTAAATGGTAATTTACTCTTTTCTCTTTCTCTAAAGTTTGGGTAGAAGTGTGTATGCGTGTGTGTTGTGCATGTGTGCGCATGTACGTGCTTGTCTGTGTGAATATGTGTGTACATAAAAACAGAAATACTGAGGCTCAAATGGATACATGCTGATAAGCTGTGGATCTAACAGCTTATTGTCCATTTAGAATAACATCTAATGGAAGTGAGCATATGCATTTAGATACCCCAAGGCAGCAGTTATATAACTGGGTTAAACATTAAACTTATATTCAGCAGACTTGAGCTTTAAAATCCATCATTTTTTTGATCCCTTATCAGTAATGATTTAGCCTTTGAGTTTTATTCTTCTAATCAGTCAAGTGGAAATAACACAATTTACCACAGAGTTATTATGAAAAAGCAAGTGAAATAATGCATATGAGAGTACCTGAGGCATAAAAGTAGTCAGTAAGTGCCTGGACTTATTAACTCCTATACATGTTTTAAAAGTATAACATTCTCTCACTTGCATATTCACATTGTTGGGCAACAATGTGCAAAAATTTGTAGAATGATATGGAGACAAGATTTAAAAAACACTACTTCTCAACTAGTGAACACTGGAAAAATTATCAACTGTTAGACTACAATGGCTTTATTTATTTATGAGAATACCTAGTTACAAAACCTATACTCTTTCAATTATACCACATTTCTTCCCAAATTTTAATTGAAACTTGTTGAATAAGTTATGAATATAGAACCAGCTTATTAAATTTTGTCTTTGTCTTTAGGCCTTCCTACTCCAACTTATCCTTCACTTTAACATCACATTAATCCTTCTAAATCACTGCTGTGATCAAATCATCTGTGAACTCAAAAACTATCACTATCTTTTCAATGTCTATAGAATGAAGTTCAAATTACAGAGTAAGGAAGGGAGGGATCAACATTTATTAAGTGTTTACTATGTGTAATATATCGGGCTAGGTAATTATCTAAGATCCTCAATAAATATAAATGCTAACCATAAAGTAATGTGTGGTAAATGGCATGTTATAATATGAAAGTATCAAAGAAGGTTACTTTGGGCTATGATGTCTAAAAGGTGATATTTAAGGCAGAATTGAAAAGATTTTGATAGATTTCGTAGATTTGGGATAGAAAATATGAATTCCTTTTGTTGCACCAAGAAAGAGATCCATCTATTTAATAAGGGAAAACCTAAAGCAATGTAGATTCTATCACAAGGCAGCTCATTTTATTGTCAAATAACTATCAGCATAATTAATAATAATCACAGATAGCATTTACTCAATGTCAATATTTGCTGTACCAGATAATGTGCTAAGTGTTTTACATGTATTATTTCACACAGTTTTCAAAACAATGCTATAAGATGGGTGGCATTATTATACAAAAAGAAAATTCTTAGAAAGGCTAAGTAACATGATCAAGATCTCTTGGCTAGAAAATGATAGAATCAGAAGTTGATCTAGACTACACCAATCAAAAACAACTGTGCCCTGTGCATTATTTTTCTTTGATTCCATGAAGTGATGATCATAGTACACTGTAATACAAGTGAGCATAAGGTATTTTGGGGGGCATTAAGCTCGAATAGAAGAGTTAAAAAAAGAGATGAATCTTAAAAGCTGAGGAGCAGCTAGAACAGGAAGGAGAAGGGGTATTCTAAAGCAAAGGCAGCAGTCCCTACAGCAGAATGTAAGGGTGAAAGAGTATGGTATATTTAAAGTGATTCAGTATGGCTAAAGACCAGGAAAAACGGGAAAGTGAAGCTATTGAGCTAGAAGGCACAGCTTATGAAGGCCTTGTACACAAAAGGTGAAGTCATTCAGTTTTAATAATCTGAAAACAGAGGTTTCACAGAAAGACTTCCTCTGGGAGATGAGTTTAGGAATAGTTAGAAGGACATTAGAGTAATTAGAAAGAATAGCCCAGTAGTGAGACTGGAAAGAGAGACAGATATGGAAAAAAAATATATATATATATATAAAAGGAGGAGTAAAATTTGTGTTTGATTTAATAGCTGATCCACTGACAGGGAAGAATATTAGATGGGCTTCTAGTTTCCTGGTGTTATCAATCACAAGATGAATGATAATGCTAGTAACTAAAGCAAGAGAAATATCAGAAGGTCTACTTGGAATTTTTTCTCTAGTTTTGGCAAAAGCTGCTTCCCTGTGACCTTTCCCTGCAATACTTGTTCTAAACTCTATGGCAATGGTCTCCAGAGTGCAGTTCACAAATCTCAGGGAGTGTGCAATATGATCCATTAAGGTGTGAAAAATTTCTATTTCTACTTCACTTTTATCCAAAAAATAAGAAATTAAGTTTTATCAAGTTTAATATATAGACATACTAGCATTTTAATATAATTTATAATTATATATACATTGGAAGTGTGTATTTACACTTTCTCTAAACTAAAAAGGGTACTACTAATAAGGCAAAAACACACAATAAAAATAGTTAATATTTATGATATATGTCTTTATTTGGCAGGTAGAATACTACTTTTTTGCATACTTCTGTTTTCCCCTTATCATTGCTCTTTTAGGCAGATGATATTCTCAATTTACAAAATGAGGACACTAAAACCCTGACAATAGTCTCAAACAAATTGCCTAACGTCCTCAATTACTAAGTACTAGGACTAAAATTTGGTATTTGTTCTGATATCCCTTCAAAAACTTTAAGACAGCATGTTTCCACCTAGAGTTACTTTTTCTGAGATCAATGTTCCAAGTTTCTCTAAATGACCTCTATAGGTGAGTTTTTGGGCCCTGATCATCTGCTTTGATCAAGTACCTTTTAAAATGTATTGCTTAGTCCAAACACACTATTCTAGATGTGTACTTATTGGCAAAACCCCTGCAGTATACAAATATCATCTTCAAGGAGAGAAAAATGGAATACATCTGCATTAACAATGTAAATACATTCAGTAACATTTATATTTAATCACATTAAACACTGACACACATGCCAGGATACTTTTCTAGAATTATCTTGTCACTACTTGAATCAAAAGCCTTTAGTGGCTTTCCATCTTACCCAGAGAAAAACCTATGCTCTTATACAGGCCTCTAAGGCCTCAGGCTTCCTGTTCTTTTTTGTTCCTTTTTTCATGTTATTCTTCCTCCACTGCAACAAAAGAGCCTCTTAGCTATTCCCTGAGCTTCTCATGCATGATTTCACCTCAGACTTTGTTACTTTCTTTGTTCCTCTGCCTAGAATGCCCTCTATCCCATGTAACTGATGGGTTATTTCCTGTAGGTCAAATGTCACCTTCTCAGTGAGACCTACCCTGGTTGTCCTATGAAATATAGCAACTTCAACTTCCCAATATTTCCTATGCTCCTTTCCTTATTTTGCTTTTCTTCACGGTGCTCACACTATTTAAATAGTTTATCCATCTCTCCCATCATCTTCTCTCTGAGAATAGGCCTTTTCTGTTTTATCCACTACTATATAATACTGCCTGGCAAATAAGTTTTGTTTTTTTTCTACTTATAAATGGAAGATTCTAACTTTTTTTTTCCTACTTACAAATCACAAGGGTTGGGTTTCTATGAAGAGAATCATAAAGTGGAGAGAGGAGTTGGGGGTGGCACTCAGAGATAAGAGCACATGCCCTTCATACATAAGGCCCCGAGTTTCATTCCCAGCATGGGGGATGAAAAGACTAGCAAATCCTGAAATATTCTAGACACACTTTTGATCTTTTAGTAGTTTTAGTATTAATAATCAAAGTGACACCTAGAGTATTTTAAAGAGAATTATTAGCTAGAAAGGATGAGTAAAGAAAGGACTATGAATAACACCTACACACATGCATTAAAGAGTCTAGATATAATAGGGATTATGTTAAGTGTAGAATTTAGAGTCAAACTGTTCCTTTCTAGGTATGCAAACCTAGGCAAGTTACATAACCATTATATGCATCATTTTCCTCAAGTGTAAATGGGTATTGTAACAGTTACTATCATTACAATATTGATACAATGTTAAATATATATTCCTGCATATGTATTAAATGCTAATTATTATTAGCACTATAAATCTGGCATATAAACTCAATGAAAGTATAAATTTTTCATAGTTTATTCTGAAAGGTATTAAACCATCAGCTTATCTGATAAGGACTATAACACATAAAAAACAAGTACTACAAATTAACTGCTACATGGGAATCTAGGACTTACAAAACACATTTATTCCACTATTTTCTAGTATTAACTAAAGTACTATATATTCTGGTATAATACTCACTTTGAGTTTTATTTACAAGTCATTTATAGTATAAAACAGAAATATTTAACTTCATACCTTTTACTTTTACCAATAATTCTCAATCTTTTATTCTCCAACATACAAGAACAATACAGCACACTCCCATTAGGAGCAGTGTCACAGCAGAACAATAATTCTCTAAGTAGGGGGAGAATAGCAAGGGTTGGGTAAAGGTTGGTTTTCAGGATTTGAAAATTACGAGTTTGCATAGTGGGAAAATATATTTGTCTAAAAAGCAGCTATTATTCAAACTCAAGAAATGGAGGTAAATCTATAGAAAAATATAAAGCATATCTCACAGATCCATTTTTAATTTATATCCAAAAAGATACATAAAAATCTCTTACTAGTGTGTTTTCTCCATTGGAACTATTCCAGAGCCTCATTCGATTATCTGTACCAACAGTGAGGAGATGAAGCCCATCACTTGTAAAACATAAGCCATTAACTTTCCCATTATGAGCAGTGTTTGCTGCAATGAAAAATACAGTTCAGTTCTTTTCCTGTATTTGGCATATATTTAATGTGAAAGATAAAATTATTTAAACATATTAAGGAACACTGAGTTACTTAAACTATATATAAATTGATTACATTTAAAATTAACTAACCCTTCAGATTATTTGAATATTACAGGCCATATGAATCAGAACAATAAAAATACAGGAAAATCAAAGGGAGAAAGATCTTGCCAAATATAATTATTTTCAGCAAGTAAACTATGCTATCAAATTCAACTAAATGCATAGCTTAACACTAAAACTTTAATCACCTTTCATCCCTCTTACATATTATTTTCATTTCTAATCAAAAAATCATTCATAGACTCTTAAAAATCATTAAAAAGAAAAGTTTAATGGAAACAGCTGGGCATGGTGGCACCCACCTGTAATTCCAGCTTGGAAGCTGAGGCAAGAGGACTGCAAGTTCAAAGCCAGCCTCAGAAACTTAGCAAGGGCCTAAAAGAGATTCTGTCTCAAAATAAAAAATAAAAATAAAAGGAACTTGGATGTGGTTCAGTAGTTAAGAGCTGCCTCAGGGCTCAATCCTGCTACAAAAAATAAGAATAAAAAAGTTCAATAGAAAGAATAACTGATCATTTCAAATCAAAATTTATTACCACTTCCAAAATTAGTTTGAGAAAGCACAATTCCTAATAGTCCGTTACCACAATGTTTCATGTACTTCATCCTACTATACTTCCAGTCCAGAATTAATTCTGAGTGAAAGTTTTTATATAGAGTTAAATTCTAATATAAAAATACAGTTGAGGGCTAAGCCTGTAGCTCAGAGGCAGAGCCCTTGTCTAGCATGTGTGAAGCACTGGGTTTGAGCCTTAGCACCACATAAAAATAAATAAAAGCATTCTGTCCAATTACAACTACAAAAATAAATTAAAAGAAAAAATATAGCTGAGATACATTGTCACAGGGATTGCAGCTGGCTCACATTTAATACAACCTCCAGTTTTATGTTGACACAATGGCACAAATACTACTGATTCTGTAATTTATTGTAGTTTCCTACTTGCCATTTAATTTGTATAGCTAGTCTCATTGGGGGGAAAAATCAGTAAAGCAAATTAATCTAGAAGAGCTTCTGTTTGAAAGTTTGGAGGCAAGAGAAAATGCCATAATTATTCTATTTTTGAGAAAGACAATGGACAACCATAATTTAGTTTAAGTAATTTAAAACGTGATTCATGGCAAATATCTTCCAAAAAAATCATAAAGTTTATGATATTAATCATATATTTACCAACATATATTTATTATTTGGCTTCAATTTAAAACCTTAGTATAAAAATTACTATTATCTTATTTCTATATTATTATAATCTTAATTACCTGATTCAGCAGCTTGTGACTTTTTCCCATTATGCTGATCAAGATTAATCAAACATCCTGAAGCTCTCCTCACATCCCATAGTTTTACTCTACTGTCAGCACTGGAAAGAAATAAACGTTACTGAATACACGCAGCTAGAATAGTAATTGTACACCTCATGCACATTTCTAGCACTGACACATAGTTTTATTATATTAACATGAATGTATTTGTACAATTGGATTGTTATTCTTTTGCCTTTTTAGCAAATAATCAATACATAATAGTAGCATGAAGATGAGAAACACAGCAAAAGAAAGGACAAAAATTGTGCTTTTATGCTGTTTTTAACTATAGGAGCATCTTCCCTACAAGGTCCTTGCAAGTTTGTTACTACATCTTTTCTATTATTGTTATTCAAATGCTACCTAGACAATAAAGCAGTTAACTAATTTCACTTTCAGAATCTATGTGGCATAAATTAGGTGATTTTCCTTTTTATATAAAACTTGAAAATAAGGTGAATTATGAGAACAATGTATTTTCATTTTTTTAGTTATATATAACACACTTTTTAGTTATATATAACACATTTTGACAAAATTATAAAAGCATGGAATATAATTTGTTCTAATTTAGTCCCCAGTACTGCCCTTTCCCTTCCCTCCCCTGCCTTCCCTTCCCTTTACTCTACTGATTTTCCTGCTATTTACTTAAGAGTTCATTCCTTCCTTCCACCCTTCCTCTCTCCCTTCCTTTCAAAATATCCCTTCTAGCCAGAAAGGGGCACACCTAGAGGTTGGAACAGGAGGATTGCGAGTTCAAAGCCATCTTCAGCAAAGGCTAGGCGCTAAGCAATTCAGTGAGACCCCGATTATATAAAATACAAAATAGGGATGGGGTTGTGGCTCAGTGGACAGAGTGCCCCTGAGTTCAATCCCTAGTATGTGCCCTCCCCCCCCGCCCAAATCCCTTCATTTCTATTTTTACCTATTTCTCTCTGCTGGTACTTTCCTCCCATAATATTAAATATTCAATATTCTTCCCTTCAACAAACAACCCATTAAATCTTTTGACCCTTTCACAGTCAAAAGTTTCTGCTTTTCTTTCCTATATTACACCTACCAAAGATGTACCTGTACTAAAGCATCTTTCCAAATGTCCTATGATCACTTATTTTCCCCTTGTTAGATTCTTAGCTCCAGAAAGTCTTAGTTACCTCTGTGGCCCTAGAATAATGTTTGGCACATGGTAGGTAGCCATCAAATGCTGGTAAGTTGAATCAATGAATAAATAGATGTTTTGTATTAGAGTTGAAATAATTCTAAAAATAGAGTTGAAATAATTCTAAAGAAGATGAATAAAAATGCCACTATTAAATTAATATATAGTGTTGTACTTTTGTGTGCAAAAATGATACCACACAACTATTTCATTAGTAGTGCTAGTTGATTTAGATTACTATATAGTTTGTGTTTTCTCTATTCTAAAAGACAAATACCCTCAAGATGGTTAGTTAGGATTAGGATTACGATGCAAAAATTTCTTTACTGATATGAATTAAAAATCTGAAAAAGCATTTCATTTTTTAAGGGCTAATTAATGAGTACATATGCTAAATAAAATGTGTATCCTACATAAACATATTTTTAAAAATGCTTATTATTAATTACTAACATAAACACCAAAATCAAATAAGTTGCATTTTACCTTGCAGTAGCCAAGATATACTCATAACGTGGTGACCAGGAAACTGCCAAGATTTCCTGTCTGTGACCTACAAACATAACTATATGAAAAGTCTTATACAATATTCAAAAATCAGAAGATAAAGTGTCAATAATTGCCTGATTCTGAAGAAAGTAATCATAAATATTAGAAGTGAATGGATACTCTTATTAGTTTTCACATTTATAATGATCTATGTTTAAATGCTACATATTATTTAATATAAAAAGACTGGTTTTGCTTTGGAAAGAACAAAGCAAGTGAATCTTTTATTAAAAAAATACAGTTGTTAGCCTATGTCAGTCAATTCATACAACTCAAGCTTAATTACTTAGTTCTATGATAAAAAGCCACACAATAAAACATAAGACAAACATTTTAAAGGAATACAAATATTTCCAAATTGCTCATAAAGTTGTAACAAAAAATATGTGATTGTAAGCAAGCAAGTGTATAAATTTTTTTCCAGAAAGCACAATTTTTTTCTAGGTTCACAGGGCAATTTCAACATTTTAGCTCACTATTATCACCTAAATGAATTATTCAAATCTGACATATTCACCTGCCAAGCTTACCTCAATAGAAATTCATAATAATATAAAAAATGCTAAACATCCCACCAAATTTTCTTGATACATTTAGTATCCTTTCCTCAGAGATGAATAAAAATGTACATTTCTGGATTATATTTCATGTTTTCATTGTTTAGAATTCAAATCTAATACTGACGAAAAAGGAGCAAAAAATTTCAGTCAATATACTTTTTTCAAAGAAGTTTAATTTTTTCTAAAATATTTTTGAAGAAAAAATACACTTAATTAAGAACAATGTATACTTATTAGATGAAACAATATTAGGCAATGCTAATGACACAAATTACTGACATAAGTTTCATCAGCAGTTTATTGTTTTAAATGTAGAAGTAACATAAGGTTTTGAGTTAGACCTATTTTCCCTATCCTTTGAGCTTCCCCTATGGCCACTTGTCAATAGTTCAGTTTTATAAGAATAATGCACAGAAGGATCCTTATTTCACTGTTGACTTTTAACAACTAGCACAAAATACATCACTCATATCACTTACAAAGAATACATTGTTAGTAATGTTTCTTTTTACTGAATGGTTTACTCAAAGTAATAGTTGTTTCAAATTAAAAAAAAAAAAAAATACCCTGCAGAATATGAGAACAGGATCCAGACTTTAAGTCACAAAGTTTTACTTTGGGTCCTCTAGTACCAACTGTAAAAACAAACAAAAAAATGGTTTAATATAATGCTAATATAAATCATCATCAAAAGGAAACAACACATTAACAGGAATCATGACATTTTCACTGTATCCACGCATAGATATAAAAATGTATGCCAAATATACATTTCAAATCATCCCGAATGCTTGTAATTAGAAAAAATATTTTATAGTTATACTTTAGTAGAAAGAGAACTCTATTAGTGCATCATTTTAAAGTTTAAACTAATTACGGATTTGCAAGAAGCTGCAAAACTATTATAAAGAGGCCTGTGTACCCTTTACCCAGATTCCTCAAATCACTTAGTTGACTAAAGTACAATGTCAAAATCAGAAAATTTATCTGGAAATTTAAATGTGTGTGCATAATTCTATGCCATATTTCCCACATCAGATCATTTATTTTAATAGCTTAGTTTTTCCAAGTTAACGATATACTTCGAATTGTAACAGATTCACAGAAAATGTGGACAGAGACTGAACCTCAAAGACAAATTAGTGCCTAGCTCTTGTTTATAGATGAAGCATCTGAATGTCTAGAGGCAAAGAGACTTCTGTAGTTCCATAGAAATAACAGAATCATAGTAAACAGATATCCAACACTAGGAAACCTGTTTTTCTTCTATACATATGAAAATGTATAGCATGTGCTTTCATATAAATGGATTTAAAATTTTAATATCCTTGTTTTTTAATGTCAAATTGGAAAAGTTGCCAAATTTTGTTCATGTAAAATTTTTGAGCTGGGCATGGTGGCACATGCCTATAATCCCTGCAAGTTGGGAGGGTGAGACAGGAAGATCTCAAGTTTGAAACCAGCCTTAGCAACCCAGTGGGGCCCTTAGCAATTTAGTGAGACCCTGTCTCAAAACTGAAAAAAAAAAAAAAAAAAAATTAGAAATGGCTGGAGATGTGGCTTAGTAGTAAAACACCCCGGGGCCCAATCTCCAGTATCAAAAAAATTAGGAAAAAAAAAAAAAATCTTTGGGCTGGGACTATAGCTCAGTGGTAGAGCATTTGCCTTGCACATATGAGGCACTGGGTTCAATCCTTAGCACCATAAAAAAATAAATAAATAAAGGCATTATGTTCATATACAACTAAAAAAATAATTTGAGACTTTAATGATTTAAAATCAACTTTTTAAAATATTAATTTTTAGTTATAGGTGGACACAATATCTTTATTTTATTTTTATGTGGTGCTGAGGATCAAAACCACTGCCTCACGCATGCTAGGCAAGCACTCTACCTCTGAGCCACAACCGCAGCATCTTTTAAGGAACAAAAAAATGACCTTTTTTTTTTTTTTGGTAGTACTGGGGATAGAACCTAGGAACATTCTAGCACTGAGCTGCAACCCCAGCCCTTTTTATTTTGAGACAGGGTCTTGCTAAGCTGCCAAGGCTGGCCTTGAATTTGTGATCGTCCTGCCTTAGCCTCCCTAGTTCTTGGGATTACAGTCATACAACACTGTGCCCATTCAGAAATAGGCTTTCTTAATCTTTGCATCTGGCCCTTAGCAAGTGCTTGACTTCACATTATCTATTGAACCGAACATAAATGGTAACATACTTAAAAAACAAAACAAAACAAAAAACTGTGTGGCTGGGAACTGTGACACATGCCTATGATTTCAGCAACTCAGGAAGCTGAGGTAGACTGGCAAGTTTTAGGCCAGCCTCTGCAATTTAGGGAGGCCCTGTCTCAAAATATAAAAATAAAAAGGGCTGGGAATATACCTCAGTAGTACTATACCCCTAGGTTCAATCCCCAGTAGTGCAAGGGGGAAAAAAAAAAGAACTGTCATCATCTGGGTTAAAATGTCTATCACAGCTAAGTAGATAAAAAAGGGAGAAAACTAAGTATGTTAAAAGACAAAAGAACATACATACAAACCTGCTACCAAACAGTGCTTGGTCGCAACTGGAGACATATGATGACTATAAACTGTTTCTTCAAAATTAAATACATCTGCAGTCTGATAAAAAAAAAAAGACATTTAAAAAGTGTAAGTTATAATGATAAAATCTAAGGAACAGGGATGGGGTTGTAGCTCAGTGGTGGAGCGCTTGTCTTGCATGTATGAGGCATTGGGTTCAATCCTCAGCACCATATACAAATAAATAATAAAAAAAAGGCATTGTGTTCATTAAAACTAAAAAACAATTTTTCAAAAATCAAAGGAACAAATTTTCTTTTTTCCACATTTTAGCAATTTTTAAACTGACTATTAGCAATTTATTTAGCTTAAACATACAATAAATCCCAGAAATTAAGAAAAGACAGCTATCTGGCTCACCATCTTCCTCTCTACTCACTCTAAGGACTTTCGGTATCCACATGGATGACCTCGCCAGCCATCTGCCTTTCAGTACCCTATGGCCTTAGCCACCTCAGGACATGCTGTTCTATAATTTCTCCTCCTCTGAAATCATTTATTTCAGTTATCCATGACAATAATCACTTTGAATTTTTTCCTTAACTCTTAAGACATTTTAATTAACACTAGGACTCTTATCAGCAGTTCATCCTGTCCCCTTGTTTTCCTTTCCAGCTTGGATTCCAAAGTGTAACACGTCACCCTACCAGTATCTTCCATTCTTTGCTGTTAGCTTTCCATTTGTCAAGATGCCTCTGAATAATTCCAAATGTCAACCTTTTCTGAACTTACATCCAAGGTAATCCTACAAAGGGGTTGACAAACATTTTCTGTAAAGGATAAGACAGTAAAAATTTTAGGCTTTGAGGACCATATAGTTATTTGGGCCATAGTAATGGTAAAGCCTCTACAGACAACTAATGGGAATGTTTGTGTTCCAGTAATATTTTATTTATAAAAAGAGGCCACTAGTAAGACTTGCTACAGTCACAGACTTGGCCAATCCCTGTTCTACCTTGGAAAGATGAAGAATATCTTATAGTTAGCAAACTGGTTATCACTATATAAGATCATTCATTTCAACAGGACTTTCAATCATGACTGCAAGTCCTACTAGTCACTATTTCAGTAGTATTCACCATAATATTCTGCAGCTATTTCAAACTTGATTCACTCCCCACTCATTCACTGCAGGTGATCTGATTTTTCAATTCAAATAGAAAATAGGAGCCACTCAATCAGAATTCCTTTAATGGCTTACCAACAAAACTACAAAACAATAAACCTGCTTCTAATTACCCTTTTTCCTTTTCACTCTTATTATGCAAAAATGATTCCTCTCCATTCCAAAAGTTAATTTCCCTACTTCTGTTCAGACCCTCTTCAGCAGACAGAAATCTCACTCTACAGATTACCTCCCAGGTAGCTATGAATTCTCTCCTTACTGGCTCACTCCAAATAGCACTGAAAGTTCAAATCTCTTATTTTCCCATTTCCCCAAGATAAAAAAAAAAAAAAAATTAAAACCCCAAATACCTTTCACCTTATATTCCCCTTAGTCTTCTTTCCTCCTCTGCAACATCTAAACTTTGGCTATCTTTAATTCCTTACATTTTATGTACTTCTCAATTCACTGAAATCTTATTTTCAATAGTGGAAGTTTCACTACTGTATTCACACTACTCTTCCAATATCATGGGTTATAGGTAGACACAATATCTTTATTTTATTTTACCTAATTTGTCTGCAACATTCAACACAACTGACTACTCCACAGTCTTTAAAACAATCTCTTGGGTTAGGGTTGTGGTTCAGTGGTAGAGCGCTCTCCTAGCATATGTGAGCGACTGGGTTCCATCCTCAGCACCACGTAAAATAAAAGAAATATATACATAAAAAAATCTCTTTCACTGGTGTCATATGCTCATAAACTGTTAATTTTACTCTTTGGCTATTCCTTTCATTGCTTTTGCAGACTTTGTTGTTCCTTTTTTTGTCCTATTAATTCTGACTTCTGGTCGTGAGCTCTTCCAACTTCATTTCTTTAAAAGAAAGCCCTATCTCTGCATTTTCATATAAACATTAGAATTAGCTACTCAATTTCCAAGATTTTGATTGGAATGAGGGATTCTAAAGATCACTTTGGGTAGAACTGGTATCTTCACAATTATTAACTTTCTAATTCTTGAATGTAGCATAGTTTACCATTTATTTGGGTCTTAATGTCTCTCAATAATATTTTATAACTTTCTGTGGAGAGTTGAAGTGGTCTTGTAAATTTCTATTCAATCTACTAGTAGATATATAATGATTTTTTATGTAATTGCGAATGGTATTAGTTTTGACATTTCATTTTATAATTGTTTGTGCCTGGAATTCAGAAACAATTGATCTTATATCCAACAACTCTGCTAAATTTATCCATACAAATTCTAATAGTTTGGCTATAGATTCTTTTGCATTTTTTATGTTCATAATCATATTTTCTTTGAATGACAGTTTCAATGTCTCATTATCGATTCTTTTGCCTTTTATTTCCTTTGTTTGCCTTATTTAACTGGCTAAGACTTCCAGTACAATGCTGAACAGAGACAATAACAAGATAATTCAATAGGAAAGTTTTCAAATTTTTACCACAAAAAAAAATTTGCTTACATTGTTAAAAAGTTTCTCTCTCTTTTTTAAATCAAATTAAAAGATGTCCCTTTTCCTCATTGATTAAGACTTTAAAAAAAAATCACGAATGGGTAGTGATTTTTATTTAAAAATATTTGGATGCTTTTAGATGATCATGTAATTTTTTACCTTCATTCTAATAACATGGTAAATTACATTAATTAGTTTTTGGATGCTAAAACAACTTTGTTTCTTAAAATAAATACCATTCAATTGTGATATATTCTTCATTTTGTATGTTGCTAGAGTATATTTACTAACAGTCTGTTTAGGATTTTTGTGTGTGTATTTATAAGCCATACCAGTCAATTTCCCATATGATATCCACTGAAGTTTTGAAATCAAGGATGTGCTCACTTCATAAAATGAGTTTGCAAATAAATGTTCTTTCCCCCTGCCCCGCTCCTTTATCATCTTGAGGTTTTTTGTTTTGTTTTGTTTTTTCCCCTTCAAGCTTCAGTATAGGACTGGTATTACTTATTTTTAAAATGCTTACAATAATTTATTGATAAAGGCATCATGACTTGGAGATGTCAGTCTGTCTCTCTTGTCTGATTTTTGGTAGTTTCTGATTGGGTGCCAAAAATTATGTGTGAAAAATGAAAGACTCTATATAATGCTAACATCTTTAGAGAAGGTTCAATCTACCTTTGGTAGGAGGAGAGGTACAGATTATCTCAATTCAATCAGGGAACTGAGTTAATTTATAAACCTGATTTGCTGTCTGTGTAAAACTCTAAAAATTTTCTACTGTTGAGGTAAGGAATCACCATAATCTCAGTTGCTTGCACAAACACAAAATTTATTATCTGCTTACAGGCTAGAAGTATCATATGGGTCCCACTGGACTATAATCAAGGTGCTGGCAATGTTGCCTTCCTTTTTGGAAACTCCAAGAGAGAACCCCTTTTCAACTTTGGCTTATGGTTCCATCATCCATCTTCAAAGTCAGCAATTTTATATTTCTCATATTATTCCATACTCTAATGCTCTTCCACTGCCTCCCTATTCTACTTTTTAAAATCCTTGTAATTATAGTGGACCCATCAGGATAATCCAGATAAATCTCCATATCTTATGGTCAGGTGATTAACAAACTTAATTTCCCTAAGATATTTAATAGGGTCTGCAGATTATGCCATAGAATCTTGGGAGGGGGGAGTTTTATTCTGCCTTCCACAGGCACCATTTATCTTCTATTTGTACCCATTCTCAGGGTACATCCCTCCAGTTGTCCTAAGAGCCTAGGTTTCTATAGAACTCCTCATACTTAGTAAGTACTATATTGAACATTTCCCCTCAGTACCATGTGAGTGGGGGAAATTGCTATTTTTAGCTTTATTTCTTTGTGGTTTTCTGTAGCATGATAGGCAATGACTCAAGGGGAAAACCAGTGTCCAATATTAGGCTGACTTCTCTGTATCTCTCTTATTTATGTGATACTGACCTCTCAACATCTGGTGACTACTCTCTGCTCCAATTTCTGGCTCTCCAGTCTTATGAAATTGATTGAAGTCCCACTGGCTTCTCTGTCCCTTAAAAGCTATCAAATGTCTACCTTCTCAGTGTCTTGCCCCACATTAAGAAATGGTAAATGGCAAAAATAAAACCCAGCAGAAAGATGAATTCACTTCTATTAGTTTTCTTTTTCTTTAGGATCTATTGTCTAGGTCCTAGATTTCTTAGCAGGGCTTTTCCAAAGCTCTTTCATAAATCTAGTTTTTCCTCAATGGAGGTGCTGTTTTGGCTATAACATACTCCATTTTAGTCAGAAGGGGAAGTTCATGGCATTTATGTAATCCTTAAAATATATTCTCATTTTCAATTCTATGTATTTATTATAAAAATGAATCCAGTCTTGCATGGTAGCACATGTCTCTAATCCCAGCAACTTGGGAGGCTGAGGCAGAAGGATTGTGAGTTCAAAGCCAGTCTCAGCAACTCAGTGAGGCCCTAAGCAACTTAGCAAGATCCTGTCTCAAAATTTAAAAAATAAAATAAAAAGGGTTGGGGATGTGGCTCAGTGGATAAGCACCCAATTGGTTCAATCCCAGGTACCTAAATAAATAAATCCAAAATGATCAATGGTGTATTCTCTTCTAATATTACAGATATATATATATATATATATATATATATATATATATATATAAAACAACTATTTAATTTGAGTAATTACAAGTATTTTCAGTCTGTATTCATTTATAAAACAATATTTGTTATTCAGATTAGAATAATGTTTATACTTCATAGTTTCTTAGTTATTGATATGGGGTTGGTTACTTAGTTCATTGGTTATCCTTAAATTATTTATTCAATAGTTACACACAGCATTGGATTTAGTAGTATATAAAACATAATCCTTTCTTTGTGGAAGTAATAATCTAGAAAAACACAAGAGTATGAAAATGATACAAAATAGTACAATAATATTTGAAACAAGAATACAGAAAACAGTGCTATAAAATAGAAGATAATTAATATGGATTCCAGAAGCTGAAATCATTGACTACATGAAAGAACTAGAGGAACCTTAGACATCATATAGATTGATGTTATAGCGCTTAATTTTTTAGTGGAAAAGACCTTTGCTAATTAATTAAATGACTTTACTTAGAGTAACATATCTAATAAGTAGTAGAAGAGGACTAGAACTCTGGCATCCTGAGTCCTGGTTCACCATAACTGTAATAAGAAATGTGACATTAAGGAAAAAGCTGCATAGAGAAGGAAATAAGGGTAGGGAATATTACATAATCAAGATGTGATTAGTGGACAGAGGCGGTCAATTTAGCTGTAGCAAACTATTTATTTTGAAGAATGGTAGAAGTTAGAGTTGATGGAACAAGGGGTGAAGTTATGGGTAACAGAATACCAGGCTGAGTTTAGACAATGGCAACCAGGAGAGGGTTTGCGCAGGGACATGACGAAACGGCTTTGTAATAAGATTACTTCTGCGGTAGAACTTACTGCTTTAATGAAGGAAGAAAAGTAAGGCAAAGAAACCAATAAGGAGTTTTTAGTAGTATAGATGAACAGTGAAGTATGAGAGAGTTTGAGGGAAGACTTGTCAAGATTTTATGATTAAATGGATGTGAGAGATAATGTTTAGTTTGGAACATGTTAAGTTTGAGGGGATGACACTATTTAAGTAAAGAATGTTCTATAGACAGGTAGAGAAATATGGGTCTAGAACTCAGTGAAGATTAGCACTAAAAATTTAAATTTGCTTACCACAGAAATGATTATCACTATCTACCTTTACTAAGCTATAATATAAATAATTCTTTTAAGCTTTTAGATTGATAGTTGAAAAAGTCCAATTTTCTTCTTTAGATCACAAGACCACAGTAGTTTCCAAACAATAAAGATAACAGCCAACAGGTTTTGAGTATTTACATATGCTAGGCACTGTTCTAGATACTTTACATACATTGGCTTATTGAATCCTTAAATCCATACTGTAAGGTGCCATCATTACTCCTATTTACAGATGAGGAAACTGAGAAACACAGAAGTTTGGACATTTGCCCAGTGTCATACAGCTAGTCAGCAGCAGAGCCAGGATATAAATTCAAGTAGTCTAGCTCCCTTTAACCACTCCACTGCTTTTACATAGAACATGCAAGACCCCTTAGCACACAGTCACATGAAAATGGTTTAGGATTAAATTCTTTATCTACAGAGCATCTTCAGAGAGGTTTCATTGTACTTACTTGTAATGTATTTGTGTCCCATACTTTCAGAGTTTTATCAAATGAGCTTGATGTGAACATTCCAGTGTCATGAGGATACCACTGAACAGTCTCCACACTGTACTTGTGAACATCAGGATGGTTTCTACAAAACAGTAATCAACATTTAGAAATAACATGAATTTCAAAACTGGGATTATATTAACCACAAGGAACAGTCTCAGGTAAGATTAAATGAATTGTTACAGCTACACACCTATATGCCTGTGACCTGCCTGTACAGCAGAAGGAAAGAAGAATGTTCAGGCATCTCTAGATTCAAGCTTCCATGGTATGACATGGAGGTCTGCCTCCTCCTAACATTCAAAATATGTGCAACTTCCTATTGTTGTATTATGTACAGTCTGGAGGGATTGGCCAGCTATACTGGGCTTCTTCCATCTTGGTACAGGCAGTGGTTTGTCCTTACTAGAAGAGATCTCTTTTGGTTTTGGATTTACGTTTCTCAAGTTACCTTCTATCAGTACTACCATTTTTAGAATCGAATGCCTCATACACATGCATGGTATCCCACACAATATTGCTTCTTATTAAGGAACTTACTCTATGATAAAAAGACTGCAATTAGTGGATGGCCACAGGATTCACTAGTAACTTATGCAACACATTACCCATAGAAGCATCATCTGTTAAAGATTCAGTTATTGATGTTATGCAACAATACAGCAGGTAGTGCTGGCCTGAAGAAGTCAGTTCATGCTCTGAACTAGTAATCAACACACTATGTGTATTATCCTATTGAATCTTAATTCAAGAAAACTGGCTGTTAAAGAGAATTACGAGACAATGAAGGATATCTAAACACTGACTAGATATTTACTACCAGGAATTATTGAGTGAGACTGAGGTTATGCTTACATAAAAGTCTTTGTGTTTCAAAGATACATGAAAACAAATAGATGAAAAGTTTTCTAGGATTTACTTCAAAATAATCCCAAGGGTGGACAGGTATGGGATAGATTGCTTCCTACTGATAGTTGTTGAGCTGGGTTATGGGACACAATTCATTATATTATTTGCTACTTTTGTATACATGAAAAATTTCTTACAACAAAACAAACAAAAGTTAACAGAAGACTACTGCAACCTCATGCAGACAAAACCACTGCGGGCTCTGATTTCTAAGGTGAAGGTCTGCATCCCAATACTGAACATCTGTGGTGCCAACTGAAGGAAAGAGAACATAAAGCAAAGTCACAAATGCTAGCTCAGGCCTTAAAACAGCTGTAAAAATACAAAGACTGTACTATCTACCCATATTTCCGTACATTCTCTGTTATATATATACTTATATATTTCAACTAATTTCCCCTTGCTTCTTTACCTCCATTATTTTACATAGGTTAACTATATAATCAAGTCCATAGGATATATAACACTAATATAGGGCCATATAATGATAGTGGAAAATCAGATATTACCTTGAGCTGGAGCTGGATACGACACTAAATACATTCAGGATCATAACTCTTTGTGGAAGAGAATGATTCTTTGGTTTTATAGTGAACAGTGTATTGGGTTAGAGTGGAACTTCTTTTTAAAAAGGGTAAGTATGGGAAGAAAGATGTAAATGGATGTTGGGCAGTCAAATAGGTGAATGGCAGTAGACATGCACCCTTTTCTATGGATTCTAAGTATTCAAACTCTTCCTGTTTGGGGGAATCCATTTGTTTTGTTGAAAAGCAAGGTCTTCCCTTTTGTTACAGAAAGCAAAGGATTCCAGATTTCTGTTTTCTCCCCGTTGGCATCAAGAGCAAGGATATATGTCCTGGGTTTTATCAAGTCTACTTGAGATTCTAAAACTCAAATTACTAATACAAATCCCCAGGAGAGTTAGCATTAATCATATCTGTAGAATTGAGTCAGTGTTGGCAACATATAGCAAAACCCAAACTAACTTGTTCCTCTGGTATGATCTTGACTGAAGATTCTCCCATCTTCCTGATAGTTACGTGAGATACTAAAGATCCTTCCAATAAATTTCTGCTTAAAATAAGAATTGATTTCTACTTCCTCCTAAGAATCTTGACTGTTTTAAATAAAACAAATCTTTACTATAACAACACATAACATCACAAATAAAAGCTAATTTATATTTTCAATGTAAATTTTAAAATAAGACAAAATACCATATTATTCTCTTATTATGTGTGATTTGTTATTCACATTTAATAAAAACTTTGATAAAGGAATCTTTTTAATGCTGAAAAACAAACATATTAAGCATACAGATAATATCAGAAAATAGTCTAAGCCACATAAAATATGATGAGTTTTATTTAAATCATTTTTTTAAATTAGATTGTAAACACTCCTAGTGTAAAGATGAAATATGAACTCATTTTGTAAAGATGCTCATTATATGCCCATACTCAAATTCAAAGTCATATGTTTAAGATAGGGTTTGAACCCAAGAATAAAGTCATAATAAAACAATTCAATGACCCACAAAGCATTTATTTTTGTTACATACCAAAAAATCAGATCACAGTCCACAGAAAAACATTACATGGCATATTATATTTCATATAATATGCAATTTTGCTATATAACAATGTTAAAATGTTAGCTAAGATAAAGTAAGATAAAAAATAAATCAAAGTAATATAACATCATACACTTTGGAATTTAGATATGTACGTTAAGTGTGAGGGTGGGAGTGAGTGTAAATGTTGCCTATGCCTGTGCCTCCTAAAAATCAAGTTCCAGAGTATTTGAGGTGATACCTTGTTCTTTTACTGCTTTTTCACTTATAGTTGTTTTTACAGTTTTCAACATGCTTTTCAAAAAATATTTGATTTATCACAGAAACTTTGTAAAAATGACAGGGAAGTGTAATTATCTCTAAACCAAAATAATCTGAACCTGAGAGAGATGACTTTTGAGTCATTTAAGCGTGTATTTCTAAAGTGAAGCACCAGACACAGAAACAACTGTCAGTCTCATAAACATACATGAATTTCAGAGCCTATAATAGTGCGTTTGAAACAGCTTTAATACAGTCGGGTTGCTGATGTTAATGTATCTGAACTTTGTCCTCTCAGAAGCATTTTCTCAGTACCAATTCCTTCTTTTAATGCAAAGTTCTGCTCAGATAAATTTTATGAGACAGAATTAAATGCTCATTATGAAAAAACTACCACACAGCTACAAAAGTTTATTAGATTCTTAAAAACAATTTTCACTAGAGATGACAAATAGAAATATGTTTATATGTTAAGCATCTTTAAGTAGAGACAAAGGAATGGTGTATGGGTGTCTCTGTGTGTTTGGTGAGGGAGTATATGCATATTTGTTATGCCTAGCTCTTCATTTTTTTTTTTTTAAATTCCTTCTCATTTTTGCAGTATTGGAAATTGGACCCAGGGCCTCACACATGCTATACAAGTGCTCTACCACTGAGCTATATCCTCAGTCCTATATCTAGTTCTTAATCTTTTTATTTCACTAGTATCAAGCCTACTTTATGTTTATAATTAGCTGAAAGACTCCTAATTGAATCTTACATTAAATGGTACTAAAAACTGTAGTTATTCAGATGTGCTCTGTACGTAGAGGGGAAAAAAAAGACAATCAAAATGTTTTTAAGCTGGGCATGGTGGTACATGCCTGTAATCCCAACAGCTCAGGAGGCTGAGACAGGAGGATCCCGAGTTCAAAGCCAGCCTCAGCAATGGCGAGGCACTGAGCAACTCAGTGAGACCCTGTCTGTAAATAAAATACAAAATAGGGATGTGGCTTAGTGGTTGAGTGCCCCCGAGTTCAATTCCCAGTACCCCCCCACAAAAAAAAAGTTTTAAAAAAAGGTCTATATTTGAATTTCAGTTATTTTCAAGAACATATCAAGGGATATCCACGTAAATATGTCATTTGAACAATTTACTTGAGCCATTCACATGACTACTATTTTCATGCTTTACATTTGGTGCAAAAAATACCCAACTGTTTACAAACTCTTGTATCAGATTTTTAATACACACCTGCCGATGGAACACACTGCTTTACATGTGTAATAAAGTTGTCTGCTGGAGTTCTCAAGGTCATAAAGTACAATCACACCATCTGAACCACCTGATAACATGCTGATAACAAAAAAAATTCATATTAATTCATTATTTTATGTATTTCTTTTATTTAGGAGAACTGTATATCTCTGAAAATTGATCTGCAAATACTCAAATGTATTAAGATCATATTTAATTCTTACTAACTCAAGACTTCAATAAACTTAATTTTCTTAAAATGTGTAAAAGAATAAATAACTACAAATTCAATTTTGTGATCATTTAACCTTTATCTTCAGGATTCCAAAAAAAAGAAAAGATAGCGGAAATAATATGGCAAAGGATATTTCTTACTAAAAAAGTAAAATATTATGAAGCTGCTTCAAATTCCCTAATTACAACTGTGCTAAATGAAAATGTATCAAAACAGACCATTTATTACCAATTCTAGCTATAGGAGCTTGGGTACATTATATCACCTGTCCAAGTCTTTCAACATTTGTAAAAACACTGGGAATTTCACCTAAATCACAAATTTGATGTAATGATAAAATACCAAATTTATTTTCTTCTTTTTTATTTGAAGGGGGATTATAGGGATTAAATCAAGGTTACTTTACCACTGAGCTATATCCTCAGCCTTTTTGGAAACTACTATAAAAGAAATTTGGGTTCTGTGTGGTGATGCATGCCTGTAATTTCAGTGACTCAGGAGGGTGAGAAAGAAAAATAGCAAATCTGAGGCCAGCTTTAGTGATTTAGCAAGAGCCTGTTTCATAGTAAAAAAAAAACCAAAAAAACAAAAAGGACTGGGGATATAGCTCAGTGGTAGTTTCCTTCCTTCTCTTATGAATGTATACATTAAACTTCAACTGGGCAACTATGAAATGTAAGGCAGTCTGTTAATACAATTAAATAAGACAGGCATGGTTCCTGTCCTCATGGAGTTACAATGTAACAGGACAGGTAATAGACATCCTCACATAAATTACTAGTTGTAAGACATTGGGGTAATAACTTATTTTTATTCTAGTTTGAGGATTCAAGGACTGTTTGCAGACCATCTGATTGTAATTTTCAACTGGCATCTAAAGAAGGAATTAGAGTTAGCCAGACAGGTATATGAAAGTAACAATTCAGGCTCATTCAGAAACTGAAAGAAGGATGTGCCACTGGAGAAGTGTGGGAGAGTGGTATGAGATGAGAGGTCAATGGGGGCAGACAACTTGGAGCCTTATTTTTGAGAATAAAAGAGAGTGACAAAATGTTTCTGGAATCATTTACCTACTTTCAATCAGGTTTATTACATTGGTAGAACCTAAAAACTATTCTATTCAAAAGCTTTGTAAAACAATTTCTAAAAAAATAAAAGTAATATATAAGCATATACACTAAAACCCTTTATATTGATTGAATTTAGCTTTTAAAATATTATTCTTGATACTTCATATACTTTAATCAGTTTCTTGCCTTTACCTGTCCTTAAAAATGTGCTACTTACATATTTTTTGAATTAGGCACTTTTCAGTATAGTCTTATGTTTTCTTTTATAACACTGCCTGAAATCATTTTTGAATGTGAAATTGTGCTACCTTTAATTAACTTTCCTGAGGCTTAATATTTTCAATTTTGATAATAATAATAGGTAGAATATGGTAAATTCTTGATTCTTCTTTTATATACTGAAATATGTCTTTTTACATCTTTTCATGTACCTTTTTTCTTTCCCAGTACTGGAGATTGAACCCAAGGGTACTCCACTACTGAGTACATCCCCAGCCCTTCTAATTTTTTATTTTGAGACAGGGTCTTACTAAGTTGTTCAGGCTGCTTAAACTTGCAACCCTCCTGCCTCTACAAGTGTGGGTGGCATTTAAAAAAAACAAAAAACAAGATAAAACTCTCTTCAAGGGAGTTCTCTATTTTATGCCTCCTTGGAAGCAAATATAATTATTGCAAAATCTTAGACATTCTGAATTTTATCTATTATTATTCAAAATATAAATTTACCCAACTAAAACAGGAGACCACAAAAGACTATTCTCAAACTTCCAAAAAATAAAGATCTTTCCCAATCACAACTCTATCCTTTTTTCTCCTTTCCAAAGTAACTCATTATGATGAATTCTAGTACTTGTTGCCTTTTTTTCTGCATATCATCACTCAAGAGTATACCCATTAATACTAGTTTTACTTTTAAAAAAAAAAAATAAATATTTACCTTTAATATGGGTCTCCAATTCACCTTCCCTCCCATCTATTTTTGCCCTTTCTTGCAACACAAGAAAGAATCCTAGAAAGAATCCTTTGGATTCTATTCGAAGAAACTTCTCAGTTTAGGGTTCTGTTCTGGAGAGATCTGTTTTTTGACCTGTTAGCTCTTTGGAGCAATTATAAAGCCCAGACTGCTCTACCTCCTTCTGATCTTACTATGGATCCCCTGAATTTACGCACAATTTACATACAAATGAAGTATGCCATGCTCTCCCAGATTCAGCACTGTAATTGAATTGACTTGCTAAACCAAATCAGTTACCTGCAATTTCTAGCCTAAATTTTGATGACCGCATTTAGGTACGAATTGAAAATGATCTTTATCTGTCACTGATCTCTTTGTTGTGATATGATATTAGATACCAAACCAATACCTAAATCCACAAATTTATATACTTACATAAAGTCTTGCTATTCATCAATATTATCAATCATTATGTTGCTGCCCCACTAGTCATTCTGGTTGTCTGATTTCATCTCTGACAGTTTCCTAAAGAAGTGCTATGTCGTTATTAATAATTTGTCTTTTCATACTTGTAAATCAAAGTTTTGCTAGATTAAAAACTTCTTAAGCATCTTAAGATAAAAATAACTTCAGTTATTTTAGCATAAAATTCCAAGTCAAAGTCCAGTCATAGCTTTCCCCCTTATACATAGTTTCATATCTTATTTATAAGTAAAAAAAGTTTTCTTGAATTTTAGGGTTTTAAAAAATTTGTTCTTATATAAGACAGCAGACTGTATTTTGACATATGTTTATAGAGTATAATTTCCCATTCTTCTAGTTGTACATGATGTGGAATTACATTGGTCATGTATTCATATATTCATATAGTAATGTCCAATTCATTCTATCTTTCCAATTCCCATTCCCCCTCCTTTCCCCTTCATTCCCCTTTATCTATTCCAAAATACTTATATTCTTCCCTACCCCCACCCTGCTTATTGTCAGTTAGCATCCACATATCAGAGAGAAAATTCAGCTTTTGTATTTGGGGGGTATTAGCTTACTTGAATTTTAGTTTTAATAACTTATTCTATTCTCTTGATTTGGTTTTCTTCTCTGGGAACTTATATGTATGCTGGATCTTCTTGGCCTTCATTCTCATATGAAGATACCTTTTAAATCCTTTTCCTTATTTCATTTCTTTTTTTTAAATTTTTTTCTCCTTTCCTCCTTTATTTCATGTATTCATTTGCTTGTGTTCCACTGCTTTCGTCTTCATTTTTGAAATTCTTTTATTTCTAATTTTTCTTCAGTTTAATCATCTCATTTCTGTTTTTAATTGATGTAATTCTCTCATAGATTATAGATTTTAAAATGACTTTTAGTCAGCTTTGAAATATTTGCTTATTATTATGGTCTGTTATGACAATACTTTTCGGGCATTGTCAGTTATGGCACTACTCTACTTATTCTCTTTGCTCTTAAATAATTTTGCATGAAACTTGATTTTAATTCTATTCTTTTGTTCATTTTATAAAATTAATTTTCTTAAGCCTTTAGAATGGAAGTTTGGTTTAGAATAATGTTTAAATTTTGTAACATCCTCTTTTACCCCCTCCCCTTTGGTAAGATGTTCAAAAATGGGAGTTTATTTTCAGAGCCTTCTTGGTTCTGTTCACTTAAAAATTTTATTTGGACCATCGTTTCCCTTGATTTCTGTTGTCCCTGGATTCTAGAAAGAATCCTTTGGATTCTATTCGACGAAACTTCTCAGTGTAGGGTTCTGTTCTGGAGAGATCTGTTTTTTGACCTGTTAGCTCTTTGGAGCAATTATAAAGCCCAGACTGCTCTACCTCCTTCAGATCTTACTGTGGATCCCCTGAATTTACGCACAATTTACATACAAATGAAGTATGCCATGCTCTCCCAGATTCAGCACTGTAATTGAATTGACTTGCTAAGCTTTCAACCTACCCACTGGTTAATTTGGACTTATAACATTCCCCATTATTTTTTACTGACCCCCAACCCAGCCATGGCATAAATGCTGACACCACACAGTCTTTTAGTTACCTGTGGTTTTTTCCCCACATATTCACATTTTGGAATTTATAGGGATACTTCATGACCAGGTTTGGATACAAATATTATAAATGTTTTTTGGCATTTTATCACTGAATATGTTGATTAAAAGATTATCTGATTTTGAACAAAATACAAACACGGAGCAATGCTACTTAATATGTCTCTCATAAAACAAATATATAGCTTTCTTCACTGAGAAGGTCTTGCTAAAAAAAAGAAAAACAAACAAACAACAATAAAACTTATCTCCTTTAAACTGTTTGTTTAGTGATGTAGGAAACTTACATTCTGGTACAAGCTCCTTGTGTCTTGTTGTAAACCAGTTATGAATAGTTGAACTAGCAGCATGCACTTATTTATAGACTTGTTTAAAAATAATTCAACAATTTGTAGAATAATTAGGTTTAAAAGTAGTTCCTCAAAGGTTCAAAGAGTTCTCAAATCTAATTGATTATGTGCAGCATGGCAAGACAGAAAATTGTGTCATGCTTAACTTTAAAACTATTTGATGTTATTAACTTTATTAAAAAACACTGAGAGATACACTTACTCTAATGGCATATATGGAGAAAAATTTGTATACTTAACAACTAGAGAGTTACCACAATGTGTGCCACAACTAATTCCAAAAATATTTCTGCTGTATGAAGCAGAAATATTTCAACTTTGTGAAACTTAGTTTTTAACTATGGCATTGCAAGTGTATCATGTATCATCAATGTAAAACAATTATTTTTAAAGTTGAACTTAACTGAATTTAAATGGCTTTTATGTCAGTTGTTTTACTTTTGTTAGAATGGTGTCTGGAAGTTTTCCTTTGATTTTATTATTCGGATGAAAATACTGAACCATTACCATTAACCGACTTTATAATTGAAGTATTTGATGGCACTAACATTATTTACTTAACTGTTAGATGAATATAATCAATTTAGAAGAATTTAGAAGGTATAAAATAAAATTTAAGCTTTTGACTGATTGTCAGTCCTAGCACAAATGGTGAAACCATATAGTCTTATAGTTACCAGTGTTTGTTCCCACATATTCATATTTTGGGTTTATGGGGATACTTCATGAACAGGTTTTGATATAAACGCAATATAATGGAGTAATATGCAAATGTAAGAGTAATATGCAAATATACCTTCTGCAGCTGAAGCTGTTAAAATGTAATTTTTGATTTTTTTTTTGGGGGGGGGGGGG